AAGAATATTTGGCTAGTTTAAAAAGCTATGAAGAAAGAGCCCAGATACTTAAGGGCAAGCAGAACCAACCTAACGGTGCCTACCTTCTTCTGGCATTCCACAAATATTCTGTCACAGACCCGGCTCTGGGGGCTCGGGGTCCGTGGGCAGTGGGGACTATGACTGTTGTTATTATTATTATCATTTGGTGTGTCGTCTGCACTGCCTCCTATCTCATCCGTATGTAGGCAGGTGTGTCTGTGTTGCTGTTTTCTGTGGCCATGTTACAGGCACCTTTAGGCCTGGGGGGCGTGGCCTGGCTTGAGGACTGGCCACGCCCCTGCTCCTCATCTGGGCTCGTCAGGGGAGAAGAGCGATGGAGCTTCCACCGACGCTGGATTATTGCGTTTGACTTCACGTCAGTCTTCAAGCACAGTCAGAAAGTGTGAGTGTATACCTGCTGGGATCAAGTGTGTAACGGCTGCCTCTATTGTTTCCCCTCAGGAGGAAAGTGGGACGAGAAGGAGCAGTGAGCACAGGGAGTGCAGGGACACTGGAGCAGAGAGCACCACACTGGGACTTTTCTGGGAAGAAGACACAACACGGGAGTCTGGGAAACTGGAGAATTTATTGTTGCTTACTTCACCACTCTGTAAATAAACACTGTTGCACTGAAGAGTCCTGTTTCCCCACCTCCCCACGGTCTGCCAGCCAGACCGTGACATATTCAGCCTGTCATGGCTGTAATTTTACTCCATTATAACTCAGTTAAAAATCCTGGTTGATTTAAAACAACAACAAAAAAACCTTTGCTTGGTTGTTATCTTGTAGTTGTTTTAATTACAGGAATATCTGTAATAACCATTTTTACAGATGAATAACAGTTTGGACATTTTGACTGTTTGACTGTTTCTGTATGTGTTAAATGTAGACGTGTCTATTCATGCAGTGACTGCTGTTCTACAGCCACCACATGTAGACAGAGATAGATGTGTGTTTGTCAGTACCTATATATATATGTATGTATATATAGGTACTGATAAAAGCTATTTTGAAGAGAGGTATATATAATCTCCCGACAGACACAGAGCATCGAGAAGAAAAGGGATGTCGTTATCTGCTGCCTCATTAGCTACCTCGGGGAAAGACAAGAAGATCTTTTTCATGACTGCCAGGTTTGTCATATTGATAACAGATTACTTATTAACTCAAGGGATCCTAATGTTCCTCTCTCCTGTCCTCTCTTCTCCCCTTCTCTGTCCATCGTCTCCTCTCCCCTCTTTAGATAAACTGAAATGTATTGAAAAAGCATCTTAAATAAAATAAAACATGTGTTTGCTTTTTGTTTCTTTCTTTTTAACACGTAGGAATGTGAGGATTACACAGACAATATGATGAAGGTGATCGTGATCCACAACATCATGGCTGAGGAGGATCCATCAGATGTGTGATTGAAGGAAACCAAGTGATGGAGGGATGTGGAAGCTGAAGCTGAGCATGTGTACTGCTGATGGGACTGATATATGCCCTCAACCTCGAATATCCGAAGGAGCTGAAGAACACATCTGACACTTTTCAAAAACTCTTTTTGGAACTTGACGGTACGAAACTACTGAAGAAGAGAGAAACTCCTCTTTTGCTTCCTCGTCTGTTCCAGCTGATCATATAAAGACTGGTTTTCAGATATGATTCTTCCAGCTCTGCTTTGATTACACCGATCTCAAAGCCCATCGTGAAAAAAAGGGATGTGTAACTGTCCAACATTATTGAAACAACCTTTAAAGTTGTTAGTTTAGAAGTTATAAAACAGGTTCATTACTTGAAATCTTGCTTGAAGCTGTTGTGTTGCACTTTATTCTGTGTTTTTATGGAATAAAAACATTGAGATGATGAACCATCTGTCTTTTTTGTTTTTTGTTTTTTTGTTTTTTTGGGGGGGGGTACATTTTACCTTATATGAATGTTTATCAACTAATAATAATTAAATTTTATTAGTTATTATCAGCTATTACCAACTAGCAAACAAGAGATAATTTTACCTAATTTAAATGAGTAAGTAGCTGTTGAATAGAAACGTAAATATGGGGTAAATTTAATTATTTCATAGCTTTTTATTGAAGCTATTTTATACACAATATATTTATTTACATTTACTCCAAAAAGTCAATGCAAATTGTTTCCTCAGATTTATTGGATAAATTCTATAGCTGACTCTTACAGTGCATATATATTTCACCTGCTGACAAACGGAGAAATCCTGGAGAGTATAGAGTGGAATTAATGCAGCTGCCTTCCTCCTTAAAACTCCATTCATGAACAACACAGCACTGAATCAGTTCATCAGCTGTTCAAGCAAAGGTTGCCGGCCTGTGGTTGTTCCCAGCGGACCGGTGGGCGGGCTGTGCAGATCGCGCACATTACGGATTGATTGCACAGCAGCACTGCGCTGCAGCAGGCTACATCTTCACGATGACCTCTGTTTTCTTCCTTCTTCCTTACTGATGTTCAGAGGAGGTCACCCAGCCATGT